TCATCCCATTTATTGCGATCTACAGTTTAAAGGCTCACACTTCCAACAACTCATAAATACCCGTCACCTCCCTCTTCTTTTTTCATATTCTAGCTCTTTCATCTTCAAAACCCCCACCCCATCCATTCGAAAGCTAGATTAGTCCCGGTCGTCTGACTTTTATGAAGCAGTCGAGTCCTCTCTTTTGTCTTGTGCAAATAATTCCACTTGCTCCATGGAACGCACTTCCTCTTCCCTTGTCGCATACACTGATGGCTCGTGCCCTAATAACAGAACCGTCGGCCCCGATAACCCCGCAGGTTGGGGTTTTGCTCTATTTGTCTCCACCTCTTATTCTGGAACACATCCCCCCATCTCCGACTCCTGGATTTGTTCTCATGGACAAGTCAAAACTTTCCTTTAGATGAAAATGTTATCAATCCTGTTGACGGCTCCAATAATACTGGAGAAATGCGAGCAATTATTGAGTTGTTTGATTATATTCTATACTACTCTGGTCTTCCGCATGGCTCCTCGGTTATCATACATATCGACTCCACCTACGTTATTCGCTCGTTACGAGGAGATCAACTCCCCTCCACACATCATCAGTTAGTTGAGCTCGCTCAGCAATATTACACAGCCCTCCGTACAATTTACTACGTAGACCTAGTGAAAGTTCCGTCTCACATAGGTATCCCTGGCAATGAGCTCGCAGATTCTTTAGCCAAACGTTTGGGTATCCTCCTTCGGTCATACAGGCCGCTTCTCCTCCCGTACCCCCCTTTGTCCCCCACAATTAGGCTATAATTCTGACATCTGGCTCTCCACAACCCCGCAGGAACAGTCCGATTTTCTTTGTTCGCTCCTCCTCTCCGAAAAACATCTTTTGCCGACTCTTCCCGTTTCTGCTAAAAAGCCCTGGATCTCCTCTTCCACTCTAGCTCTCATTACCCGATTCCAGGATTGTACCGATCTCACAATTCCTGAACTTAAATCCCTCCGCAAAGGGATCAACAAATCAGCTTCTCGTGATAAGAAACAATTTATCGCTCAGCATCTCCAGGAAGATTTTCCCGGTTCCTCCATTAATCAGTGGCGAACAGCTCGTTCTGTTCGTAAGCCTTTCACTCCTCGCTCCGTTAATCTCTTTAACATTCACGGCAAACTCTCTTCTAAAGACCTCCGTGCCACCACCTTCGCTGAATATCTCTCGGAGAGAGTTTGGAAGGCTCCCGATCCTCAACCAAACATACCAGATAACCCTTCTCCGTCAATAGACTGCTCTGCTCCGTTCACCATGGCTGAGCTCAATACAGTCCTTAGGTCACTCAGTACGGGTAGGGTGCCTGGCCCTGATACTATACCTGCCGACATGATTAAGGGATCCCCCTGTATACTCAAACTGTTCCTTTTAGATCATTTCAATCACTGTCTCTCCACCTCCATAGTCCCAGACTCTTGGGCGTTATCTGAAGTTGTTATGTTAGTTAAGAAAATTCAGCACGATACTCGTGACCTCTCCAACTATCGTCCTATCTCACTGACTAATTCAATGTATAAAATCTTTGCCTCCTTAATTCAGAAACGGCTCTCTCACTATTTTGACGACAAAATCCGTTCTACTCAGTTTGGTTTCCGAGCGAGACGTTCTACCAACCAGCCTATTCACATTATGCGACGGATTCTCGAAATTTATGAAAGACAACAAAACTCGCTCCATGTTCTCTTTCTCGATTGGTCTAAGGCCTTCGACTCCGTCTCCCTTTCAGCTATCGAATCTTCTCTCCGCTTCTTTGGAGTCCCTCCGCTTTTCATTGATTCTATTTTATCCCTGTATCGTTCTCCCAAGTTTTGCGTCCGCGATGCCGGCAAAACCTCCGGAATCTTCCCTCAAACCCGTGGTCTCCGCCAAGGTTGTCCCCTCTCTCCATATCTTTAACTTCGTCCTCTCCCATCTTTTTCATGATGTAGAAACCTCTTATACCTCTCAATTTGGCCTCCTCTCCGGGGTCATCAATACACCATCTCCGCTTTGGGACCTTGAATATGCTGATGACACTGCTCTTATGTCCAACTCAGCTGAACAAATCACTCGACTTCTCCACTTATTACAGCATGAGGCCAACATCCGTGGCCTCGCCCTTAACTTTGATAAGTGCGCTCATCTCCGCCTACATTCTGAAGACAGAGTTTTCTTTTCTCCTTCTTTCTCCTCCCCCTGTGACTGATCGCGTTGTCATGGTCACACTGCTCCTCTCCATCCTGTTCCTCTCTCTGACGAAGTCAAATATCCAGGTGTCTATCTCGACTCCTTCTCCAAAAACCGCAAAAACGTTTCTTATCGTGTTTCTCAGGCTATGTCTGCTTCCAAGCTCCTGCGTCCATTATTGGCCCACCGGGCCCTTCCTCCGTCCTGGAAACTGACGGTGTATCGTTCCGTTATTCAATCTATTCTGCTATATGCGATGGAAAGTTCACAACTCACCCCCCCTCAGCTCACCAAACTCAATCATGTTCATTTCAAATCCCTTCGACGTATTTTCAGAATTAAATCTTCATTTTACCATAGAGTCCTCAATCCAACCGGGGAAGAGTGTTCAAATGCCTATTTGGCATCTCTTTCATTCGACTCATCTAGAGTTATTACTCCTTCCCAAATCTATTCACAAAATCGACTTACTTTGCTTGGACACCTATTCCGGCATCCTACCTCTCTTGAGTACTCCACCACATTTATGCCATCAGGCCAGTATCGCTATACTAGAGGCCCCAACAGGGTCGGACGCCCACGTTTGCATTGGGCTGAGTCAGTAATGTCTGAAGCCTCTAACAGAATCTCCTTTTTGGCATCGGACCGAGCCCCTTCTCATTCAGATATTGATAATTCCTTCTTCCAGATCCTAAATGTCTCCAACGTAAGGATGACTCATGTCTCACCTTCTCTTATGTGGTTGTGCAACCCAGAGCTCTTAATGGGAGGGAATGGATTAGGATTGTTAATAAACCCAAACAAGCAAACCCACACTGAATATTGAACGCTGCTGGTGCAGACGGCTTCGACCGAAGCTTTCGCAGTTCAAAAAATGGTCGGATTTTCCAGCGCACGACAAAGCCACAGCAGCGCCATCAACATCACAAGCACAGTGCTTCCACTCTCACATACTCTCACCCTCTCTATACCTTGCGTGTGCTATGCTTGCAAATGCTGTGCCGGTCACCTCGGCCTGGCATCCCTAAATTCTTGGTTGGGCCAGGCATCCGGCAAGGCCCATGAACCGAAAAAAAATCAAACTGATCGAAACGCAGGTGTGCTGGCCGGTGCAAGTGTTGGGAATCTGTATAGGGGACGGATAGGTAGTTAGAGGATGCTAGAAGTGTACTTGAAGAGCAGTGGCGTACTTGCAGAGGCTCTCTGTCAAGGGCTAAGGCGAACAGTACTGTTTCTATGCTTGTTGCCCGTCTTATCTTCATTACTGTTGCCGCTGCAGCTGCTTCTGCCACTGTGGATCCAGTCCACGACAACAACAGGCATTGTCAGTTGAGCACACCTGGATGAAGCACTATCACTTCCATAGTTCTGATATTGAGAACTGCTGCTGCGAGCCCTCAACCTTTTCTCAAAGCTTGCATCCTCAGCAGCGCCTGCTTTCCCTGTAGTCAGAATACGAACGCTTACAGTAGCGCTAGGCAGGGTAAGTATGAGAGCAAGGAAGCTTTCGTCCCCTGCCATCGTCTCGCCCACCATCACTGATTGATTCTCCTTAGTTTATGTTTTCTGAGATGTGCGGATGGGACGCTCCACCCCTGACCACAAAGACAGGCTGAGCCAAACTATTGCTGCTTGAGATCCTGGATGATCCTGGAATCAAGGCCACTCAAGCTTCAAAACCCTGACATCCAACTAAATCCCAAAACCCTCAAACCAAACACAGATACGGAAGGAGTTCGGCGGGTGCGAGCAAGGCCTTGAGCCCCTATGCATCTGCTTATACTTATTCTTCTATGTTTCTATGCCACAGAAGAATTGCTGTTCCGATCTGCTGGAATGCTAAGCTGGGGCAAAAACGGGAGCGGGCTTTGCGCCCGCGTGAGGTCTTTCTGTCTGTCGTTTGTCGATCTGTCTATTTGTCTACCAGCCTAGCTATCTACTGCTATCTATCTATCTCTCTGTCTATCTATGTATCTATCTCTATCTATTTATCTATGTGTCCGTCTATTATCTTTGCAACTTGTTGAGGTGCTACTTATGATAAAGACAATCACCGCCTGTGGATGAGAAGGCGAGAAGTCGTTAAGCAGTCTCCATTTCAAAATTCCAACAATGCCACGATGTGCTTGCGAGCTTGGGCGCTTTACGCACTGCCAAAACCGAACCACTGTCTTCGGTTTTTTTTGCAGGCGTCTGATCCTGAAATCACCGACTTCAAGCTGTTGGCAAGCAACTGGCTGATCCCCCTCACTAGAAGAATACCTCTCCAGGAAACACGCGACCGCAGATTATCAGTGCATGCAGAAGGGCGGTGAGGTGGTCTCCGAATTAGAATCTGGTATGATTTTGGACCTCAAGGTCCACTGCGCGCTGCCAGCAGGGGTCGACTGAGCACTGTCAACATGTCTGTTGTTTTTGTTGTAGGCACCCTCAGACAACAAAAGAAACAGCAAAGTGCAGGGCCAAAAAGACGGAATCATGGCAGGACCCACCCAAACGGTTCAAGAGCACAAAGAACACTCAAAGAGAATTCAAAAAGCACTTCTAGAGCGCATGCCAGGGCCCGAGAGCACACCACGATCACTCGAACAATAGCAACAGCACTCCAAGCCCATTCCCTACCAATCTAAGGCAACCACTACTGGTTTGAAAGGGTGAGCACCCACAATGCGTGGAGGCTCCCAGTCAGCCGCAGAATACGGCCGCAGGCATTCCCTTTGGTCACAACAAGAAGCCCCCGGTGGCAGTGCACTGTTTGGGGAAAAACGGGCCCCAAGAAACCTTTTGGGTTGGAATAAGCTGTTTGGAGGACTTCTCACCTTGCAGCTGTGCCCAATGCCTGGGAGAACACAGAAATGAAGGCGCGCAATAAGCAGCTCTCCAGCGTCGGCAAATGGAGGTTTATGCATGTGGGAGGTGGAGCAGGAAGCGTCGGCTTCCAGTGCTTCCCAAAGAGTTCAAGCGGATGTCTAAGTTCCGCCTGTCCCGCTTCTTCTGAAAACTATGGTGGTAGCTTCCAAGGCTTGGCCGACTGTCGCCAGTCGGAGGACATGGCTGCTCGCGTGGTGCCCGACAGCAGAACTCCGCCGTGCTGAAGTGTATACATGTCGAGCACGTCCTGCCCGGGCTACTCCTGCAATAGGTGCAGAGTGCGGACGTCGTGAGCTACGACCGCTACTGCTTGTATACTTGCAAGCACCGAGCATGCAGCTGGTGGATTTGAGCGGTAATCAGCACTGGTCATTGTACTCCGGAGTAGTGAAATCTGCGAACAAGGCCCCTACTGACTGATGAGATCAAGCCCGTGGTGGATTGTGCACACCTTGATCATCACGAGATAACGCCTGCCTGCTGGATTGCCAAAATCAGTTCTTTTGCTTGCATTTGTAGAGCAGTGCTTCTCACAGGGATCTGGCTCAGAGTCCCACTTCCAATGGAAGGGAGATTGTGTATGAGGCTCACGTTCAGTTGTCGTCGTTCCCATCCATAACCTCATTGAGCTAGTCTGATGTGCTTCAGGCACATCCTTTGGCGCGAGTGGGACCTATCTCGCAATGGGTTCCGCTGCCTGAGGCCAGGATGTCATGGTGAATTTCTCGCTCTTGCAGACTCGCAGACGCGTTTTTCACCTTCTGGTACCACACTTTGTGCATGAGGCATCTGCCACAAATCCAACTTTGGATGCCAGGTTGGCTAAAGCATCTGTCTCGCTTCTCCAGCAGTCATGATGAACATGGCTTTTGCAAAAGGTCCAGTGATCCAGTCGGCGCAATCAGAGGAACTTTCTCATCTTTGAGGCTGGGCCAAAGGGAACAGGGATGGCAGAGTGATGCAGAGTGACAGAGTGGGCAGCCACGGAGGAGACAGGAAGCCGCCGCTCCAGGCAGGCCCGGATTCTGTCATGCTTAGGTTTTCTGATGTGCTAGCAAGGTGTCAGCCCATACAACCTTCCCGATGCTGCTAAGGCGCGGTCTCATCGATGTGCGAAGCATGATGAACATGCCTGATGGGATGTAAAGCATTTTTGATGTGTCATGACAAAAGACATGACTGTCCTACTCGTGCATAAATATGTCACGACAGGGGGTTTCAAACCCATCTAACTAGCCAACACCTAGTCAGACACAAAGCAAACATCAGCACACGAACTGAGAAGGGTTCCAAAAGCTCAATTGCTTGCAGACTCCTGGAATTTTGGTGGAAGGGCATCTCGAAAGCAGGGAAGTTGTTCCTCCCTCATCGTCCAAACCATGGAAATCATCGCACCTTCTTTTCAAGAATACTTCCATGGCAGGGGGGTCTAGGGAAGCAGGCAGCAATTTCGTCCAGAGTCTAGCTTTTCTCTGCGCCAGCATGAGTGATTCACTACACACATCGACACTGTCAGCCTTGTCGTCAAGCAAGTCTGAATTCAATGCAGAGAGTACTGCAGGATTGCTGAGGACGTAGAAGCAATCTTGAGAATCTTCACAGAAGGACAGTCCATCATCCCACAGCCGGCCTGGCATAAGCAGAGACACAAAGATAGGGTGCTCAGGCAGTGGGGTGCAAGCTACTTGTAGCCGTAATTGCAGTCAGGCAGAGGATGCTTGAGGCAAACGCAACGCAAATGTTTGTAACTCTACCACATGCAGTTAAGGTTTCCTTAGGGCCCAGCAAACACCTTGCCTGCCCAACAGCCCTCCTCGAACCTCAAGACAGAGAGAGGAATCCACAAACTTGAACCTAGACGTTTTGACCTTGCAAGCTTGCGTTCCAGGCCCCTCCACTATGCGTTTGCCACTGTGGCAACAGAGTGAACCGTCTGCCTGGCCTGGCTTGACATGACATGGCTTCATTCGAGGAAGATGGAATCCTAGCATGAGCGCCGGAAGTTGAGGCTTCCGCCAGACGGAAAGCGACGGTATTGTTTACCCCAAGCCGAAGCAGGCAGATGGATGGTGTCTTGGTTTGCTCAAGATGATGCCTCATTGTGTACTTTCATGGCAGGTGAAGTTGCCACTGTCTGTAACATCTTCTGGGAATCCAGCAGTACAACCAGAGCCTCTACAGCCTCCAATGCCACCGTCCATGCCTCGCATTCCCTCATTTTTGCGTGCGCATTCCTATCTTCTGCTTTGCAGGCCTCCTCCAGCAGACTTGCCGCCACCGTCAATGCCTCTGGGGTTGTTTCCTGGCCAGGTGGGATGTGATCAACAGGTTCGGCTCTTTTTAGAGCTCAGCCATTTTTGCAGGAGCTGCCACCACTGCCCGAGGCGGATGCACCTCTTCAGAGTATAGATCGAACCTCTTTTTTGCAAAAGGCTCCCCTGGAGATCACCGCGCCTTTATCGCCATCTGAAATAGGCAGTCAAGACGTGTGGTTGCCTGTGTCAGCACGTTTTGCCAGTGACATGCGTTTTACCAGGGTTGCCAGAGGCCGGAGTGCCAGCCTCGATGTTGCATGGGCACTTCTTTCATGATCTGATGATCTGATGATCTGCTGAGGCGACTTCAGAGAAGGCTTCGGAGAAGCCAGTTTCCTTCTTGCAGGAGGTGGGGGGTCTAAACCGCACCTTCAAGTGCAAACCTGGCTTAGAGCCATTTCGAAAGCTAGCAGAGCTAGCAGGCCTCTGCCTCTGCTCCAGTCGCGTGCAACTGTGTTTGCTGAGGCCGGGTTCATGTATGTTTGAAGCTGTGTGTGGAACAGGCCAAGCCTGTCTGCGCAGGAAAACCAACTGGAGTTCCCGCGGCGCTGCGGAGCAACTCCTGGGGGTGAAAAGCACACGAAGCAAACTAGACTGCTTGGCCAACATGCGTGTGCTATGTGCAGCTCAATACCCTGGCGTCAATGGCTCACAATCAGCTTCCAAAGGCAAGCACAGCTGAAACAAACCGCTTGTTGAAGAAGTTAGATAGACTCAAGACTACAGCAGAAACTGACATGATGTGATTTTCCTCTGACATGATGTGACCAACACCCTGATATCAGAAATATGCAAATCCCGCCACAGTCTTGAAGAGTACAAGTCTTTTTAGAAGTTGACAAGGCTCTCAAGGGACGCAGGCTACAGGCACACATGCTGACCAGATGTAGAGCACTTGTGTCGAAGTCCTCAAGGCTCGCGATGATTGAGTTTCCCTGCCTCGAAGGATGGAAGGAGCTAGATTTGCCTGCCCAGACTTGTTTGCAGGATTTTCGACCCAGTGTCGCGAGTATGCAAGGTGCGGCTTCTGCTCTTTCATGCCATTCACACCCACATCATGATCTTATTGGGAGCAGCAACAGGAAACACACCTTGAAAGTGGTCTGTTGGCCGGCGTTGGCAAAGGTTTCCCGATGTTTGTTCCCAGTATCCCAGATGCATTGCCAGCAGTGAGTGAGCTGCCATTTGCCAATCCTGATTCTTGATGGCGGCCACCAAGTTTTGCCTGTCCTTTTCACCTGGCAGAAACTGAGGGTACCCATGACTCACGATGATCCAAAAATCCTTGCCCAAACCCGTGTAGAGGGCGGACATCGCTGCAAAAGGAACGGTCACAGAAACGTGAAACACAACATAAAATGAGTGGGTTTGCAAGCCCTCTTGTGCGGCCATCATGGATGGACTGGTTCATGATTCCTTGCGCAATCTCAACGGGCAAGTTGATGTCGACGAGCACTAATGCAGTGGCGTCCCCCCCCAATAAATGCAAATTCAAGATGAGTAGGCCAGGAGGTTCGCATAACAGCTATGGTAGAGACAACCTGTCTCCTAAGCAGACCGTCCGCACCAGGTGCTGGGGCGCGTTTACAAGGTCTTGTGGCACTTGCAGCTTCGCGCCATGGCGGCCACGGAAGTGGTAGTCTCGCCAGGATGCCCCAACCTTGTGCCTGGTTGTTACTTCTACGATAACGCTGTTGATTCTGCCGATGTCCAAGTTTCTCCCAGCATTTGCTGCAGACGTGCATGTGACTGGATTTGATGTAGCATGGTTGCAGTCTGTATTTGCTGGCACACAAGGTTCATAGTCCTCTTCAGCACTTGCGTCGCTCGCCTGACGGGCACCCGCGGTGCCATTGTCTGGGCCCTGTTGTCATGTGGTGTCCCACAGAGACTCAGAGATCTGCCGAAGATCTCCAGGCAGTGGACCTAGTTTTGTTCTGGCTTTTCGCACGTCTAGTTGCGCGAGCCTGCAGCTTAGAATGTTGTTTTGCGAGACTTGCAGGATTCCCAAAAGTGCGCGCACAACATGAACGTTCGAGGCCTTGATGTTCCCCGGCTCACTGAAGATCTTTCAGCGGAGCACGGAGGCAAACTACAGGACACATGACAAGCTGCAGTGTGGCATGTAGATAAACTATGTGTTAACTTGCGAAGGATAGAGATTGCTCGGCACTACATCATCAATGTTCGTCAGCTTTGGATGTTCCTCAGACATGCTGGCCACTAAGTGGGCTGCCCTATTCTATTCTAGACTTCAAGAAGGGGTCCAAGACCTAGGCAGCCCATTTGTCGGATCATCTGCGGGGCGTCACTCTGGACGGCTTGGTGCAGCTCCTGGATAATCTGGCCCTATCTGGCCATTTGAACCGTGTGGTGAACTGCTGAACACTGATCATCATGGTGCATTGTTAGCATGAATAAGGAAAAGGCATGCTCGGCCATCCACAGTTTGGCTTGTTCGCTGCGAACCCAAGAGCAACACGAGGCAGGCATTGCACTAATTTTCAAACAGCCCCGAAGTTTACAACATGATGAATGGATTCAAGAAGCGGTCAAGTGTTACTGCACTTGCTGAACGCAAGGTGCGGCTCACAGCTGAGCAGCGCGAGGCGAGCAATTACTGCAATTCGCCAGTCTTCATCTAGACTTGGCAAAAAGCTCACTTCCTGGTATCTTGATTTTTTCCCAGAGGGCGTATTGGGTGAAGCGGAAGTTGCATCCGTTGATCCTGGAAGGAACCTGCAGTTTAAAAGTGGAGCTTCTTTGCTTTGCTTTTGCTTTTGCTTTTGCTCTTGCTCTTGCTCTGCGAAAGGTGCTTGAGTCGGCTGAGGACATGTTACACAGCGTACAGCTGCCGCACGTTGATGCTTTGAGCTCTTGATGCTGTTCCGTTTGGCTGAAGCTAGGCTTGTTCTGCCCTCATGCTGCTCACCGTTGTCCGTGTGGATGCTTGGTTTAAGGGTTGTGGCTGTGAGGACCTTGGCAGGTGGCTGCACACCTTACAGGCCAGGAGAGCCAACGATTTCCAACGACTTGGCAACTTTTGACAACTTCCATTAGCTGCAAATCCTGCTTTTCAGGTGCGAAGCCATCCGCGAGGCCTTGGGCTTGTGGAGATTTCTGGTCCGGCCGTTGAGACATTTCTGAAAGGCCAAAGCCCGGTGCTGCTGCCGTTCAGCGAATGGCTCACATGGGCTAGGCGCAAAGGTTTGTGTTTCTTCCATTTGCAGTTCCTAGAGAAGCAGTGTGCCAAAGATACCAGAAAGACCAAATAAGAGGCGGCACTGCCAAAATCGGCAGACCAGCTATGAGAAACTTGAGTCAGCCAGAGAGCAACAAGGACCTGATGATCCTGACAGTGGCCCCCTCCCCACTGAAGACGCGTACGCGTTTGCTAAGGCGTCATCAACATGAATGGAACCTCCTCGTTTCTTGGGAGGCAAACCCCCCCTCGGGTCAACATCATCGGCATGATTGGCATCATTGTGGTACTATTCCCCTTTCTCAGCCTCGTTTTTTGTTGATCTCGCGCCCAGGCCCGAGACTTGGCCACAAAACACGCCTGCTGATGATGCTTCTTGCTGCTGAACCAACAGGGAAAGCTATCCATACCCAACTTGACAGATCTAGATGCAAGATGGATCAGCAGGGATTGAAGGGACCGTCTTGGTGCATTTGGCGCTCCGGTTCACGCCACGGCCTGCGTCAGGACGAAGAAGCGAACAACCGCACCAAACGTTTGTTTCAGTATTACTTTCGCCCAAACTCACCTGGAAGGCAGACATGCGTGCATCGATTTGTCCTTCGACAGCCATCATCGCACGGCTGAGCCCTGCTTGAGCACACATTGATGACGCCCGTTCCGTATCTCATTCCAAGCCGCGCCGCCGTGCGCCAAGGCCGAGACTATCCAAAAGGCTGTAAAATGGGAAGCGACAGACGTGCACGTTCCTCTCCGACACTCAACCCTGCGGTAGGACAGCATCATCAGCATCATTAACCCACCCAAAAACAGCGCACCTGGGCAGCGCGAAGGACCAGTGGCTTGAGAAACGGACCTTCAATGATGCTGATGATGTTGGCCCAAGGAGTGGACCCCAACGGTGCTGATGATGCTGGCTCAGGTTCTCAGGTGCAATATCAGCATCGTTGGCAATTTCCGTTTCTCACCTCCACGACTTCCGGTACCAGGGCTAATGAATCTTTGGTGGCAGTGATACTGCTGATGGCAGCGGAAGCAGAGGGGAATGCTTACAGAAAGGTATGCTGTCGGGCCGCCTGTTTTGGGCATGTGGGTTTGTCAGGGTTTCGAGGCTTCCTTTGCAGGTAGGGCAGGCGTGTGGTGTGGATGTGTACTCAGGTAGGTATTCGCACAAGCCTTTAGGCTGGGGGTGGGGGTAAGCAATAAAAACATGATGGTCGAGCACGGCATACGACTGTTCATCCTCCCCCCCTCCCAGGGTTCATTCTTGTAAAGGAGTAGCCACCTATCGACGTGAATCCTCATGACCTAATACAAGCAGGTCAGCCCCACCAGATCCCCCGATCTAGTCCCGATCAAGTATTTAAGGCGTTGCTTGCAATTGCCTGCACACGTGGCCTATAGGAGGCACTCGATGATTTGAAGCTACTTGCCGTGATTAGCCTCTGTCGTTTGTAAGGACCTGTTATGTAAAGAATGTAAATCAAAACACGGCTTTTCCAGAGAAGCTGCACCGCGACTTTGCAATGGGAGTCAGGGGGAAGCTTCCAAATAAAGCAGTGGGTCGAGGAGATATCCATGTATACTGAAAAAACCCTTATACTTATAAGTGCAAGACTTGAGAAGGGATGTGCACGCTTTCCATGAAGAATGAAGTGAATATTCTGCACAGGTCTCTATGCAGGTCAGTCTAGTTTATGAGCCTTGGAGGAAATTCCATTGCAATTCACAGAGAGTTTGTTCAGAGGGTTTATCTCCCCAGGCTCCCCTAGAATCTTGATCCCTTAGATTGAAGGTACTGAGTGTAGGAGAATGTATGTTCTCTGTGAGATGTATATGTGCATTATGTAAAGATGGGACAAGCTGTGTGTAGGGATCTCCATGGATGGTGACAGGTTCTATATGGCCAAGCAGCATATTTAGATGGAAAAGTGTGTGCGGCAAGGCTACCATACTTTCTCCACATATCTCATGAAACCCCAGCCGCAAGTAATAGAGCACTTGATCAAGGGGTCAATCTCAAATCGTTCTCGAAACCAGGACTCCACAGCAAACGTGAATCTTTCACATTGCATTTGGTGTGCGTGGGTCTTCTCAGTGAAGTGTTTTTTTTGTGTCTGAGAAATGTGTGCCTCTCATAGGGCAAGTGGATCATTTGAGGGCGAGTGTCTTGTTGGGGAGCAAAATGAAGAGAGGGGCCCACGAGAGGTCCAACATGCTCTCATCCTAACATGGTTCGGTACTCCGGAGGCCATGGGAGGGTCCTTCCTCCTCTGCCATTCTGTGGAAAGATTTCGGGCATTTCCCCACTATGTATTTCAAGTAAAACATGCTTGTCTCCATTCACCAAGGGCACTCTTTCTCTGGAGGGGTTGGAGGGGCCTCCTAGTATCTTCGTGGAAGGAGCCCATTGTTTGTCTGGACAAAGTGGCAGAATGTCCCCCCCACTTCTGTTGTGGGAGCAGCCAAGGAGAGTCCTCCCCAGTCTTCCCTGAAAGGAATGGAGGACAGTCCGCCCCATTCTTTCTGCGAACAAAGTCCTTTCCGTTCTACAAGGACCCGAGCAGAGTTCTGCCCATTGTTTTATGGAAGGATTGTTATGTTTTAATGTGGCAGGAACCAAAGGGGAAGGAGCCCATTTTCTCTCCAGAAAGAAGTCAGGACAGTCTTCCCCACTTCTGGAAAGAGCCAGGGAGTGTCCTTCTTACGAAAGTTCCTTTTGCGGACAGAGTCCAAGAAAATGGCCCCCAGTGTTTCTCTGGAAAGAGGGGGGAAGAGCCTCCTGCATTCTTGGAAGGAACCATTGGGAGCTTGCCCCACTCTTTCGCACAAAAGAATGGAGGAAAATCGTTTCCAATCTTTCTGGTAAGGAGTGATGGTGAATCCCCCTCACTCTGAAGTCCCCCCTATTCTTTCTTTGGTGCGAATGCTGGAGAGACCTCTCTGCTTTTTCTGCGGAAGGAGCCGAGGACAACATACCCCATTGTGTTTCTGGAACGAGTGTAGTGTGACAAAGACGAATAGGCCCTCCGTGGGCCGGCTGGCCTGTGCCACTAGGCGCATCAACGGCAGCTTGGCTGTCTTTCAGGGCATTTGTTCCAGGGGTTTTGTCACTCCCTCAAAAATGTAACCACGTGAGCGGGTAGGGACGGCGTGCGTCCATTCCTCCACCGCCACCCCGCCACACCGCCACATGTGCTTCATGGGATATTCGCTGTGGCCACTGGCCATCAAATGGAGGTTCAGAAGTCAAGGGAACAGGCCCAGAAGAAGCTCTGCACCAGGTTCAGGATATTTCAATGCTTCGTACGGCCAACACGGGCAGCTTTGAAACTCCAAAGATGCTTAGCATCACGGCTAGGGTCATTAGCATCATTTTCCGAGCTTTCGATGCCCTGAATTCTTTTGCAAAAGCTGCACGGGTTGGTTTTCGCTGGATATTCTGCCTGGCTGGACCCCGCTTGTGAAAAAGCACTCTTTCACGATGCTTGTCATTTAAGGGGTCCTCCACCTCGCCGTGCTGTAGGCAAGAGCATTCAATGTATTCTGAGCATTCAGAGAGGGTACTGGAAGTACCAGATTGAAAACTGGAGCGACGATGCGGGTTGAATATTCTTGACCTTGATTCGTGAATGCCTCCGACCCACATGGTGGGACCGCTGTTTCTCAACAAGGCCCTTCCGGTACGCTCTCTTTTGCCAGCATACAGAAGCATTTTTTGGGGGTATGGCCATTCTGAGCATGGCTTTTTTTCTTGTAAGGTAGGGAGGTCGACCAAAAACCAGCAAAACCACTTGTTTCTTGTTTGTGATGCATGTTGGGCACACTCAACCACAATCATGATGCTGATCTTTAAGCCAGTCTTCCCGCCTACATCTCAATCGTAGGCAAGAGTCATCCAGATTTCGGATGCCGGGTCCTGAGATAGCTGCCTGGGAAGCTGCCAGCCAGATGAAGTTTCCTGGAAAGTGTGGAGGTCGCAGGCGGAATTCATAGCTAGCCAGAGGCTGAGAGCACTTGGGACAATGTGGCGTGCATTTGGTACTGAAGCTGTGGCTCCGTTGCAAGCCTGCAAGCTGAGGATCTGAGCTCGATGCTCAAGGCACCTTGCCCTCCAAGATGGCACGGCTTGAAAGACTACTTTCCGTGATGGACCGACAGCACGGCTTTTGAAGAAAGCACAGGTGCTCCAAGCTACCTTGTGATGCCCGGCAGGAGGATCTAAAAACTCCGAAATCTGGAATGCTTACAACGGCAATGCGCTTCTTGAAGGCGGGTGCAGGGAGTTGTGAATGGCGCAGCTGAATTGTGAGCCTTTGGTTCGTATCAGCGATGAGAATCATGTGAACATGTTCAGTACCCGCCGAGAGAGTGAAGATTCACAGGTTCCAACCCTAGGCTCCTTGAACCAGCTGAGAGCGTCGAGCTCAGTGATGAGATTGCACCAACAGTCAGCCATTGACTCTGTACAGCTTGCATTTATGCTTTATTCTGCTTAGTCCTGCCCATTTGCTAGCAGGGACCAGGGAGTGACATGCTATCATTCTTGCAGCTGTTGACCCCAGCACCAGCATTTACATGTTCATGGCATTAGCAAAGAGTCTTTGTTCATAGCAGGGGATCAAATCATCAACTTGAAACAATTATGATGCGTCAGTGGACCCGCCATGTGGACTCCCGTGGCATCGACGGCAGCTGACCTCTTTGGCTTTGTGCTCCCTGTCGCCCTGGGGCTGCTTGTGCCCCGCCTCATACAGTAGAAGTCTACATACAGATTGTCATGTGTGGGCGAGCTGGATTTGATCCAGCTTGCATCAGGAGGATCCACACTTACTCTGTGTGATCTCTTCCAAGGTTCGGGTCTTCTCTAGCACAGCTGGCCAAGAGGAACCTCTTCTCTGGAAGTTTCTGCTCGAAGTTTTTGTCGCATCTTGTCGGCATCTCCTCCAGTCTTCCTGATATCTGACTTGGCAGGCTGCCAGGCACATTCCATGTTCCGAAATCTTCGGCAGGGTAGTGAGGTTGTGACATATCTGACTGATTGGCTTTGTTTTCGCGGCAAGGCTTCTAGTCAAGCTCTTGGCATGCGCAGAAGCCGCAGAAGTGTGTAGTATGAAAGGACGTGCACGGAGAGGGATGCAGCACGGGCTGATGATTGTGTGCGGTGCAGCACGTAAGGACGTGGCCCATGTCTATGGAATCTTGATTCAAATCAGACATTTCAGCTCTATGTACCAGTCATGCTTCAAATGTCAAACTCATCCGGTCCCGGCATGGTTTTTCTGACCTTGCGCGAGGTACCGTTTGTCGAACTCTCCTCGATTCCGAGGCTGTCGTTGATGAATAGGTTTGCGGTGATCCACATGGGAAGTGGTTAGGAGCATCATCCCTGGTCAAGGCTGAAGTTTGTTGAGCTATGGAGTTGGAGCAGGGATCAGGAATTTTATGTGAGACGGCTTCGATGCTAGGACCGCTAGGACTCGGTGACGGTTTCATTGATCAAGCCGCAATTGGCAGGTGCTCGGGGACAGCATAAGCTGTTTTACCTCTGTAGATCCTGCATAGGGCATGCTCAGCCTAAGTCACCTCCCGAATGCCTTGCTCCATCGGTCGTTCTTTTCCTTGCCTTCCTTTCTTTTCTGTTCTCTTCTCTTTGTTCAAGCGCTACGATAGGCATATTCGTGTGATGCAGGTAAGAACGTTACAAGCGCATGTGCATGAGTTTCTCACCATTCAACATTCCGATGGTTGGCTTTGCAAGCATATCTCAGCTTTTTTCTGTGCCAGGCCACTGCCTTAAACTGGAGGCTTTACCTGGCGGCCGTGCCAGGCATTGCTGATATCACATACCTATCTCAAGAAGTTGTATAAGCGGATTGCGCTCAAGACATCGTGAGGCCTGCTGGTTCCAACCCTTTTCGTCAATCTCGTCGCGTTCTCAGAACAGCTGCGGACAAATTATTAAGCTCACTTATCTTCCAGTGCGTAGATGTCGGGAGCTCGCTGGAAAGCACCCTGGATTTTACGAATGAACATGTTGATGTTCGATCTGTGTAGCGAGGTCTTTGGAACTTGGTTGGGCTGGAGCTTGCTATCCTATTATGCCATGTTTCACTTCGCCGCCAAGAAGCATTATAGATATTCTTGTCATCTCCACATCTCCAGAAAGAATACCTGGCATGAACTGCTTTGTGTAAGGCCAAGCAGCCGTTTGGATTGCTGTGCATCTACAAGGCTAGGCAAAATGAGCGTGGCGCGTTTGACCACAACCTGGACTTCTGGACTTGCATGGCAGGCAGGAGAACAGTCAGCCAGTGTTGTCTTTAGCAACTGCTTCAAGTCCACTTTCAAATCTGCAGGTGCTGCCTGTCCCATCTTGCTCTGGCATGCTGGCGAGTTTGAAGGCTTTGCCTGGTTTGGGGCAGAAGACCAGCAGCGCCCTGGATAATGATTGCTAACTTACGAATCTTAAAAGATAACATATTTGACTTCCATGCGCGGCCATGCATGCTGCGAGGCTTTTCAGGCTGCCGAGTGCTATGCGACCAGCTCTATGGATCCTCTACGCAGCTCTGCCAGGCTGTAGTGATGTGATCTACGTTGTGTTTCAGCTGCTTTTGGAGCTGTTGAGCCATGAAGGTTTCTGGCTTGCTCGTGCAGTGTGGAAGTGGCATGAAACTGGCCAGCTGCAGCTGGGTTTTGTTTCATACGCTCGACAGCAACAAAACGACTGGCGAGGAATCAGCATGAGGATCTCATGGGGTAAGAGCGATTTGGTGACAGCACAGCAATTGACAAACACATAACTTGTCATGAAGCCGGCTACATAGTTGGCAGGGAGCCTGAAAGTAGCATGAAGAGAGCATGTCATTGCGAGGGACCTGATGAATTGAGGAATCTGGGCAAAATGTGGATAATGGCCGCTGGCACAGAACTGAACTGGAGGGTCAGCTATCAAGCCCTGCGTTCTGTTTGCCGATCCCGAGTCCTGAGGTTGCCATTTATGTAACGTGGTATCTGGGCATGGGTGAACATCACGTGCACTCAATGGCCTTCATCAACCTCTTCCACGGCCTTTCTTCCAGTGGCTTGCCACATTGGATTTTAGAGTAAACGCGTCTGGATGGCAATATATGCTGCAGATGGCGGCAGATTGAGGTGCCGGCGCGTAGCATCCAGCAGGCTGTTTATAATTTTGCTTGCTGCAAAAAGTTTCAGAAGGTCTGTAGAGGGTAGCGTAAAGCAGGATGGCTTAGCCGTGTTTGTCATGTAAAAAAAAGTAGTTACAAGAAGTCGCTGCCAAGGCTTAAAACCGGACGTGTGAAAACGAGGGGTCAACATTTGGTTCTGGAGGCCCTTAAGTGGAAGCTTGCAGAACCAAAAAAAGTGCGATGCACTTGTCAGACCACACATGTCCATGATGTGATTTTGGTCACAGTGCTATTGATTTCGGGGTTGGGTGACACCAAACGGCGCCAGATCATGTCCTTTCCAGCATTGTCACCAGTCTCATTCTGAAGTACTTTCTCGTTATGCACAGCTGAATTACTGTATTTCGGCTACGACAACTCGCAATTCGGATTGGGGGATTCAGGATGACGCCAAGCGTGATCGCGATCAGGTGTTTAATTTAAGCTTCCGCTCAGCCAGTTCGAGAGGGATGGCATAAGTTTGCGTGTGAATGGTCCGGCCCGCACGTTTGTTCTTCCGTTTTGGCTGCGGCGGAGACTATTGCCAAAGCACGATTCTTTCGCAGTGTTGACTTAGATTGTCGAAGACAGACAGCTAGCTCAGCGACGACCGGTCCGAGAGGTATAATGATAGCTCTGTCAAGCACATCTGCGTGCTCCTATCATTGTCTGGGAGCCCAGCGTCCCGCGGGCTGAGCAAGGTAGGGGGGCGTGAGGGTTCGAACCCAGGTTGAATCCTGATTTGGACTCCAGGGTCTTGGGGGACAAATAAACGCGTGCAACCTGGGTTCAACCTGTGTTCAACCAGGTTCAATCCAGGTTCAAACAACTTGAACCCGGGTTTGAACCTGAACCTAGGCTTCAACCCTGCTAATTACTAGAGTTGCTTCCATCGTTACTGGTATAGGACTGTTATCGTTATTCTTACTACTATCACTACTTGCTCTGATTACTAGTTTTGCGAATGTTGTTATTCCCCACATTCTTTGTGGGGTTCTTGTTTTCGATGTCCGTCGCCCGTCAACCGTGTGCTGCTTCCGCCGCGACAAACACTTCGGATGTGCCCCAGACTTCTTAGACTTGCCTTTAAATTAGTCGTGCGGAGGCCTCGAACATCGTAAAACAGTAGGAAACTTAACCCCTGGTGCGCCCCGAATTTTCTCCAATCGCCTTGAAATGTAGTCTTCCGGAGGCTCTGAAAATCATTGATTTTGATCGAATTTAACCCCGAATGCCGTTAAGGTAGTCTTCTAGACTGACCCGGGCTTGGGGCAGCATCACAAGCATCATCGGGGAGCCGTTTCTCCTGCTGGTCTGATTCTGTAAGATCGGAGCGGGTTACAGCTCTTGAGGGGACTGCTCGATTTATTTGCACGCACATGGGGGGCCAGGGCCAGTATTATGAGCACCATTGGGCAACCATTTCTCCTGGCCTACACGGTTTAGGGTTTAGGGGTTCAGGGGGTAGGGCTGCTCAGCTGGACGCAGTATTGTGCAGACATGCCCACACAATCACTACTTGCAGCAGAACAACATCAAGGCCATCAATACGAAAACCAACCAAACCGAAGCTCTTCCCTTTCCTGATTTGGGGTAGCTCATGAAGCAAGCCATCAAAAATTGATGGTATGAGTTTCCTCTGTAAGCTACAGGCGCTCCTAGGAGCATCCAGCAGGCACCCGCCCGAGCGGCTTGCGTTTGAGGATGTGCTGGGCCGGAGGGCTGATTGGTAGCTTAATCAAGCGCACCGACGAAAATAAACCCCTCGGAGAGTCCTGGAGGCTAGAGCCCTCTTGGGGGGTGCTGGATAGGTGCTGAAGCATTGGAAGCAATTGCAGAACTTTCTAGGCGACTCGGAGGTTTGGAGGAGCTTCGGAGTGAGGCAAATCCGGGCGCGACGTCTAAGGTGCACGCGCATTTTGCTTCCAAGGTGCGCACGGGTTTGCGTCTAAGGTGCACGCGGGCGCGTGCTGGAATCAACGACCCTCTCGCTGTTTTCGGCGGGCGGCGGCGCTGGCGCGTGGAGCTTCCTCAGAATTCTGTTCGGAATCGCCGACCCTCTCGTGATGTTGGGGGGGTGGCGGCGCTGGCGCGTGGAGCGTCCTCAGAATTCTCTTCGTAGTCTGCAGTCGTCGACCCTGTCGCTGTTTGTGGTGGATGGCGGCGCTGGCGCGTGGAGCGTCCTTGCAATTCTGTTCGGAATCGACGACCTTCTCGTGATTTTGGGGGATTGGTGCTGGCGCGCTGAGTGTCCTCAGAATTCTTTTCGTAGTCGACGACCCTGTCGTGGTTTTCGGCGGCGCTGGCGAGAGCGTCCCGAGAATTCTTGTCGTAATCGACCACCCTCCGCCGTTTTCGGCGGGCTTCGGCGCTGGCGCGTGGAGCGTCCGGAGACTTCTATTGGGAGTCATGGGCGCCACGGCAACGCCTTCGTGCCCGTACCTCGCGGCGCCTACATCGCCCACACACAGCACAGGACCTGCACCGCACCGCGTACGCCGCAGCAGCTACACCGCCCATGTAGACCGCGACGCCTACACTGCACCACGACCGCAACACATGGAACACGGCCAGATACGCGTCTCTTGCTAGTGTCGAAGTGATTGCTTTCGGGATATTCGGGGTCTGGTTTCGCTCATTCTCTTTGCGTTCATTTTGCGTTGGGGGTTTAGGTTTTCAGGGCCTGGGGCACTGTCCGATTTAGCGGGATTCTGGATTCAGCGTTAGGGTTGAGACCTCGAGATGTCCAGTTCTCAGATGCTAGCGTTCCAAGAACCGAAGTCATCGTCTAAGTCTTTGTAGTGTCCGTAATTCACGCATCTGGGGATTACCCCAGGCCGCGTTCTGCGGGAAGTGCTCCAGGACATCAGCAGAAACACAAATAGGTCTCTTCTGAGCCATATAGGGGTGGAAGGGGTTGTGTAAGCCTGGTTCGGGGCGTATATAGGGTTACAGACGCACATCATCCCAATGATGAAGACTCAATTGGACAAGAAAATTGAACATGACATGGGAACTGGGGTTTTGAGCGGTAGCACTGTTCGTATAACCTGGGTTCACCCCTTGTTTAGTGGCGTGTCTGGCTGTGGTATTCTTCCTAGTAGTCGTTGTAATCGAAAAAAGACCCCTGAACCCCTACACCCCTAAACCCCCAACTCGAAAACCCCAAAACCTTAAACCCTAAATCCAAAGCCCCTGAACCCAAAATCCAACACCCCTGGACCCTAAACCCTAAATCCAAAACCCTTGAACCCAAAATCCAAAGCTCTTAACTCCTAAGCCCTAAGCCCTAAGCCCTAAATCCAAAACCCCTTAACCCTAAATCCTAAATCCAAAACCCTTGAACCCAAAATCCAAAGCTCTTAACTCCTAAGCCCTAAACCCTAAATACAAAACCCCTTAACCCTAAACCCTGAATCCAAAAGCCACCAACCCCAAACCCTAGACCCTAAATCCAAAATCCCTAAACCCTACACCGTAAGTCCAGACCCCCTGGACCCAAAACCTCAAATCCAAAAGCCCTAAACCCCCAAACTCTACATCCAAAACCCCTAAACCCTAAACCCTAAATTCAAACCCTTGAACTCTAAACCCTAAATCCAAACCCCTTAAATCCTAAACCCTAAACCGTAAATCCCAAACCCCGAAACCCTAAGCCCTGAATCCAAGACCCTTGAACCCCTACACCCCTAAACCCTAAACCCTAAACTCTAAATCAGAAACCCCTAAACCCTAAATCTAAAACCCCTCAACCATAAACCCTAAATCCAAAAGCCCCCAACCCCAAACGCTAAACCCTAAATCCAAAACCCCTAAACCCTCAACCGCAAATCCAAACCCCCTAGACCCTGAAGCCTAAATCCAAAGCCCCTAAACCCCCAAACTCTGCATCCAAAACCGCTGAAACCTAAACCCTGAACCCTAAACTCGAACCCTTCACACTAAACCCTAAATCCAAAAGACCCCAACCCTAAACCCTAAACCCTAAACCCTAAATCCAAAACCCTTGAACCCTAAACCCTAAACCGTAAATCAAAACCCCCTAAACCCAACCTCTAAATCCAAAACCCCGAAACCCTAAACCCTAAATCTAAAAGCCCCCAACCACAAACCCTAAACCCTAAATCCGAAACCCCTGAACCCTAAACCGTAAATGCAAACCCCCTAGACTCTTAACCAGAAATCCAAAAGCCTTAAACCCCCAAGCTCTACATCCAAACGTCTGAAGCCTAAACCCTAAACCCTAAGTTCAAGACCCTCGAACCCTAAACCCTAAATCCAAACCCCTAAACCCTGAACCCTAGACCCTATATCCAAAACCCTAAATCCAAAACCCCAAAACCCCAAAACCCTTAGATCCTAAACCCTCAACCCTAAATTCAAAACCCCAAGCCCTAAATCCAAACCCCATAAACCCTAAACCCTGAATCCAAAACCCTTAACCCTAAATCCAAAAGCCCCCAACCCTAGACCCTAAACCCTAGATCCAAAACCCCTAAACCCTAAACCCTAAACCGTAAATCCAACCCCCCTAAACCCTAACCCCTAAATCCAAAATCCCGAAATTCCCACCCGGCCTGCTTAGGCCGTTCCCACCCATTACTAGAATGGTCAGACACTGAAGATACACGTCAGCCATTACACCCGTACTGGGTAAGACAATGGGAGGAGTGTATGGAGAATGGACGTCTAGAGCCCCTCCGGGCTGCTCCCGTACATCAGGAGGCACAGCCCTGCCTCCAGCCACCCCAGTGAGCCAAATATGTACAATGTACATTGATTTTTCCCTTGAAGGGAATACCCCAAACTTAACAGACACACGCACTCAGATTTTCAGCCTTCTCCCAGAGGGGGCCCCCCTGAGGGGTCCTGGCCCCCAGTCCGGCAAATCTGGCAGTAAGGGCGTTGAGGGGCCAACCTTCCACCTAAGGCTGGAGGAGGCCCTGGTGGCTTTCACAGCTGCACTGGCTCCCTTCTTAACGGGTGGCGGGTGCACTCTGGAGCCCTGGAGCCCTGGAGCCCGGAGGCTCTTGGAGGTCCTGGAGGCCCTGGAGGGGTGGAGGGCCTGGAGGCCGGAGGCCCCTGGAGGCCTGGAGGCCTTGGATGATTGGAGGCATTGCAGGCCGTGGTTTTGGAGGCTGAGGCCCTGAAAGCCCTGGAGGCCCTGGAGGCCCTGGAGGCCCTGGAGGCCCGCCTGCCGGGCTGCTTTTTCTTTGAAGGAGCAAGAAGACTATCTTTTCGAGGTGGGAATTGAGGGCGTAGCCCTAAACCCTAACAGGAAATAATTCGGGTGGTAGTCTGTGATGTCTCATTAAGATCCAGCCACAAATCAGC